GGACTTTCATAATATCCTGGCATAACAATGCAGTGATGAGAAGGGAGTCTTATTTCTCATATTCATTTCTGAATGTGTCTCTCTACATATATCACCTTCCAGAGCTAACTCACACGAGGGATGAAAGCAAATGCGAAATGCAGGATTATAATTCAATAGACATCAACATCCCAAACAAAAAAGACAGATCTGAAGAGCAGAAGAAAACAAGGAAATCGGATAGCCTGCCATTGCAGGAGACTGACCTGGGAAATGAGAAGACAACCTCATCATCTTCTCAGATGTTGCTCCAGACCTCCTGTGAACTTGGCTCTGACACCTTTCCAAGCTTAGAGAGAAAGAGAGAAAGGATTTGGTGGGGCAGAATTGTCCACAGGCTGTCGTCAGAAAAGTCAGGGGAGTAGCCAAGATGGAGCAATTAAAGATTCACCACTTTTTATGTGGCTCGGTTGTGTGATGCACATAAAAATATGGGTGGAAGCTTGTTCACACTCTTTCGACCATCATCTTAACTTTACTGACCTCATCCAGTGGTGAAAGTTGTCTCAGGGCAGTTTATTGCACTTCCTTCATCCCTCCCATTTAGAGTGGATTCTTGTATTATCCTGGTAGTTGTTCAATAGAGCCCTACTTTCTTTTCCTGATGTACTTGTTAAATTTTGTTATTGCCTCTCTCAACTTTTCGCCTTTGGCCTTTCTGTTCTGTTGGCTCCCAGAACATATTGATCACGTTCGGTTGCAAAACTAACAGCTGACATTTCTATCGTTGACTCAACTCACTTAGTCTAAACCTTGGGTGATAGGAAGGGCCTTCCCACGTGATTCATACATCACCAAGGCGCCTGAGGGCAGGACAAGAAGCAACGGATGGAAACTAATCAAGGAGAGAAGAAACCTAGAACTAAGGAGAAACTTCCTGACAGTTAGAACAATTAACCAGTGGAACAACCTGCCTCCAGAAGCGGTGAATGCTCCAACACTGGAAGTTTTTAAGAAGAGACTGGACAGCCATTTGTCTGAAATGGTATAGGGTTTCCTGCCAGAGTAGAGGGTTGGACTAGATGACCTCCAAGGTCCCTTCCAACTTTATTATTATTATTATTACTTTTGGTTCTTGCATAATTGTGGGGTTTTCAACACGTGCATGGCCTAGAAAAATAAAAAAATAAAAAGAAGCAGGAATATTCTTCTGGTTCCCCACTCTGGACAATTCCATATCTAGGTGTGAAGATTAGCTGTAGTCCATACCATCTGCTAGTAGGGGTCAAAAGAAGCAAGGTGGCAGATGTGCCTCATAATTCAATCCCTGACCTCTTCACATATGTACACAGGGGGGAGGACTTGCATCATGGCACCACATTTGCCATATTGCTGCTTTTTTTTTTTAAATCTTCTCTGTGGTCAAAAAAGAGTGTTGATAAAGGACCTGAATGAATGAATGAAATATCCCTGGAATTAAAGGCTTGGTTAAGAGGGAAGATGTGATTGGATGGGCAGATCAGAAGTATTATTACAGGCCTATGATGGAATGTAGTCTGGATTCCCATTCCAGGGGAGGAGCCACATTCCAGAGGAGCAAGAAGTTTAGATAGCTTGATTTGACAAAAGAAGGTTAGGACAGCTCCTCCCTAGAAATTTGCAGAGTATATCTTTAGCTAGGCAGGTAGTTGCTTTATGTATTGGCAAGATTTCTGTCTATAGGTGAGGAGCAATAAAAGAGACTGCGTAGAAGAAACTCAGCCTGTTTTTCTTGGGTTT